GCCGATCCGGTGATCCACAGCGCAAAGTTGTAGTATTTCCTCAGCAACCAGCACGGATCAGCTCCAGGCATGACGAAGCAGATATCGTCCTCTTTTGGAAGACCAAACAAAGTAGTTTCGCTGTCACAACGAAGCACACAGCGCCTTCACGACATGGCGGCGGAAACAACGAAACTACAGCGAGAATAAAAGTTACGCCTTCTTTCTTTGCTTGAACATTTGGGAGGCGTTATGCAAATCTTCCCACATAGTGACGTAGACATGTGGGGGCGTGTTAATGAGCCGTTTTAGGTAGGCGTGGCTGACTCTTAACTTTTATAAAGAATATCTCTTTGGATTTGAGACTTTAGTCTTTGCAACTTTACAGATCTTCTTTATGCACCAAGAGCTTGTAACACTCCAAAGAGAAAGGAAAAATTGAAATCGCATCATATGACCCCTTTAAACTCACGTGCTTGTCTGCATGATGGGACAGAATTAGTGCTTTTGAGACTATGTAAATCTGAGATGTTCAGATGAGCCTCCTAAGAGTCCTTTACAGTAACTCTTATAAGTTCACCTCTGTTTATTTGTGTTTAATTAGCATACATTTCCATTTCTCTTTTTAAAGACTTGTGTAAATTCTTTCAAATTGGTAAGGATTTAGCAGATTTTTGTGCATAAATTATATGTAACTTTACATGCTGTTCAGAACTTTGAGGTTGTAAAATGTAAGATTTTTTAAATGTTTTTGAATTTGAAGTCTCTTATGCTCACCAATAATTGATTTGATCAAAAATACAGTAAAAACAGTAATATTGTGAAATATTATTATTATTTAAAATAACTTTTCTATTGTAATATATTTTAAAATTTAATTTATTCCTACAAGTTACAAGTTAAACAAGATTTCCGCACGTTATTACACTTGTGTATACACTGAAGTGACCATACATAAGTTTAATTTGCAATCCTATAACCCAGTTTTTTTCTTTATAACTCTCTCACATCCCGATTAATAAATGTCAGTGCTCTCTTATATGCTCTGTCTCTCTCTGATATACATAAGGAGCCTCTCCTCAGCCAGTTCCCTGTCTGGCCCCACGTGCTTCCTCTTATCTCCCCCTCTTTGGGACTCTGCTCTAGTGTGTCTTGTTACTCTATTCACACAAACACACATTCATAAGCTCCAGCTCACACTGAGACCAAACATGTAACACACCCATAACTGGCCACCAGAACCCCATGTTCATTTTATCTGCGTGTTTCTGTAAACAATGGCTCTTGAGAAGCCATACCCTGTAATTCCTCCAAAGCAAACTCCAGCTAGACTATGACAGATCTCAGAGCGTGGAGAAACCCTCAGCATCACGAAGACCCTCATTCCTCAGAGATGTTATCTGTCTAGCAATATGTATCTTTCCAGTTTAGAGCTTTGAAAGTGGAACCATCATAGCTCATCATATAATGCACAATAAGAATTAGGAATAAACTCTTCTAAACGTTTGTAAATTCATTTACATAGTAAAATATTATTCGTGCTGTCTAATCGTGTTTGCTTATGTATTTGCATTTATTGCAGTTTTATTGCAAACACACAGAGAGGGATAAAGTATATTTAAATGCACTTCAAAAACATTTGTCAGACTAAAAAAATTATAATTTGTATTTTTAAAATGTCATACAAATGCTTAATTGGACTAACAGACATAGATTGTGTGATTGTAGATCAGCCTCAGGCAGCATGTATACATATTTAGATGACAATTGCACATGTAAGTATACAATGAAAGAAAGAAAGAAAGAAAGAAAGAAAGAAAAAAAGAAAGAAAAAAAGCTCTTCAATAGGCTGTATTTATTTGGTCAAAAATACAGTAAAAACATTAATATTGTAAAATACTATTACTAGTCTATGATGGCAGATTTTCTGTGATGACAAAGCTGAATTTCCAGCAGCCATTACTTCAGTCTTTAGTGTCACATGATCCTTCAGAAATCATGCTAATATGCTGATTTGGTGCTCAAATAACACTTCATATTATCAATGTTGAAAACAGTTGTACTGCTTAATATTTTTTGTGGAAACAGTGATACTTTTTTTTCAGGATTCTATGATTAATGGAAAGTTCAAAAGAACAGCATTTATTTGAAATAGTATTTTTTGGTAACAATTTAAAAGTGTACTTTCACTTCTGATTAGTTTAATGTATCCTTTCTGAATATAATTATGAATTTCTTACTGACCCAAACTTTTGAACAGTACTGTATGTATATAAAAATATGTGGTGCATGTAAGCATGTGCGTCCTGTATACATGCAAAACATGCAGACATGCTCAGCACATGCATTCTCTAGCTGCCAGTCTTATCTCTGACGCCCATTTTTTTGCATTCCCTTCCTCTACCATCACTGTTATCTCTTTAAAGTCAAAGGCACACACACACACACACACACACACACCTGTGCTTAGTCACACACGTCCTGTTACTCAAATATGCTGTTTGAATGAATCATTCATAATTCACGTGCTGATAGTGAAGCTGTCTTTACTTCATCCTTGAGGCTGAGAGCAGTGTGGAGAGTGTGTGTGTATAGAGAGGGGTGGGTGTAAGCTATCCAAAGTGCAAACCCAATGACCCATACTTCAGGACGTACCTCCCCACACTGGGTGGAAACTTTCTGGAGGCCATGCTGGGAAAACAAGAGCCAGGGATGGAAAAGACTTCAAGAGCGAGGGGCTACAAAGAGGAGAGCTGGCCCTTGATATTACAAATTCACATACTTTGTCTCATTCTCTTCCCTTTAAAAGTGGGGCCTCTTATCTTTACCTCATAGTTTACAGCCAGCGTTACTGTCAACTGCCATATTTGATTAAAAAATCTCACCAATCCCAACTATGCATGGAATTCCTTCTAATAACCAACAATGGCACGTCCTTGAGGAAACACTGAGTTTAGCAGTGTGCTTCACTGGAACAGCATCCTCTCTCTCTCTCTCTCTCTCTCTATGAACCTGTCAGAATCTACAGTGAAGTGTTGATGAACATGGAAAGACACAAAGAATTCCACAGATAAGTTGTGCGGCCTGCACTTTCGGGTTCACGAATGGAGCACAGAATGGGTGAACGGGTGATTCATTTCAGTCGAACATATGAGCATATCAACATCTTAGAATAGAGCTGAGAGCCCAGGTTAGGAGCCTGTAGCGTATGGAAACTCCCAGGTTTGATGGCATCTTTGCCCCATAGACCGAATAAGCGTGAGCTCTTCCTGCATTCATGCCATTCCTTCTACTGATTGCACTTCCATGGCTGATTTCACTTTATTTGTTTTTCTGTTACTACAAGGAAGAACAGATATCATACCTAGATGAGAGAGAGGCACGTATCCGTAAAAATGTGTTTGGTGCTTTCCTGGTCAAAACTCACAGCTATGATACTATTGTGTTGTGTTTGGTTGCCAGGCCTTTGGTATACGATTATTAAGGTGTTTTAATTGGTTTTAGTGTGTGATTGCTGGGGTGTTCTGGGTGGTTGCTTTCTAGACCAAGGCAGAAGAGCCAATTTTCATATCTCTATGATATTCCAGTATCTATGGCTCAGGTTATTACTTCAATATAACTAAAAAGGTCTCCAGACTGCAACAGAACTTGTTTAAAATCTAGTAACTATTTTGTACATCCATAAGATTGAAAAAAAAAGCTTTTATGAACCACAGCTGCATCCATACACGCATACTTCCCTACTATATAATACAAGAAAAAGGTCTCTAGCTCTAGCTATAACTCTAGCTATAACTAAAAAGGTCTCCAGACTGCAACAAAACTTGTTTAAAGTCTAGTAACTATTTTGTACATCCATAAGCAGTTGTGAGCTGGTGTTTGCTGCAAGCTCCAACAAATAAGGTGTGAGCCTTGATTTCTGATTTATGAAAAAAAAAAGCTCTTACGAACCACAGCTGCATCCATACACGCATACTTCTCTACTATATAATACAAGAAAAACAGTATTTGAAAAAAGTAGTATGCCTGAAGTATGCAAAAAGTAACCAGATGACCTACTACTTCTGATGAGATTCTGAAGTGTGCGTCTGATGGACACTTTACTATCCCATGAGTCCACGGGAGAGGAGTTGTGAATGGCAGTGAAGTAACGCAATTGACAATGACATGAATGAAGTATCCCCAGAATACCTTCATACTACACATTCATACTATATAGATTTTTTTTTACGGTCACAAAGTAAGTATACTTATTCACAACAAGATCCTATACTCAGAGAGTATGCGACTTCAGATGCAGCCTAGTTCTTTTAAATGAGTCAAAAAGAGTCACATAGCATACTGGAACATGCTTGTGAGTTAGCGGTTTTAATCAGAGGCCCTGTTTATACCTGGTATTAAAATGCATTTGCGTCGATCCAATCACAAGTAGACAACAATAAATACAGGTATAAACTGGGTATAAAATGTTTTGAGCTTGTCCACTTTTGACCTCTTCAAAGTAATCAGGACAGAAGCGGTCAAAAGTGCACAAAAGAGATGGATTAAAAGACCAGCTAAGTGCAAAACAGGAATTTGTCTTCCTTGTCCTCTTGTGATCCGATCGACCAAAATGCATCTTAATACCAGGTGTACACAGGGCCAGACTCACTCACTCAGCGAATCGTTTAAAGGTATTAGCTCACAACTGACTCCTTCACTGAAATGTGAATTTGTTTATTTTTTTGGCTGTCTAATTCAAAATGAACTGGTAAATGTTACTGTGGTGTGCATTTTAGGTCTGTGACTGGTTGTGAGACAACATGCAATTAAAGATACATACAGGTGCATCTCAATAAATTAGAATGTCATGGAAAAGTTCATTTATTTCAGTAATTCAACTCAAATTGTGATTACAACAAAGTTTTGTTGTAATAAATGGTTTTCTCCAAACATGTCAGTTGTCAGTTGTCCGTGTGAAATTTAGAAAGCACTAACTACTAGTAATTATAGGGTGGAATGAGCCTGCTGTGAACAGTAAGAAGCGCTAGACACACTAGTTTCCTTAAGATCTGCAGTCACTGAAAGCACATCAGCATTTATGCAACATGAAAAAGATTAATCCAGGCTGTATGCATGCGTGTGCTGCTGTGTGCAGATTTGTCAGCATGTCTGGCTGTGCCGCTTTGCATGTGTCAGCAAGCTTGTAGAGCTATACACTCTGCCAGCATAATGCTACAGAGACCCACAATGCAGCAGTCAGCAAGAGAAGAGAGGGGGAGGGATCATATGAGGGGGTGGGGGAAGAGCCAGGTCAGAACTTAGATTTTTTGTCAAGAGGGTGTAGAGATCTTTGTGTAGTGAACTTCCACAGCCACAGGAGGGAGCCACTTCAGATGCACCACACAGGTTTGAAAGACAAACTTCCTGTGCATTATGCTGTTTGTTTAAAATATTAAGTGAAGGCATATTGCAACAATAAAACTTTTTAAACATTAGTATGCTAAATTGTATGCTATATTGTTGTCAAATGGCCTATTACATTGCATCTGAGTGCTACCTTGGAAATAAAAATGGTTATTTTGCATTTTTTATTCAGTTTTGTGTAAAATTTTGATCAAACCTATTTTGAAGCTACTATTACCGCAATGCAGGGTTGTGTGCAATTCAGAATTGAATTCAGTTGAATTTGGTGGCAAATTGGTGAATTTGGTAGCAAATTACGGTACAGTAGTAAACAGGATGTTGAATTCCAGTTGGAATTTGAATGTAATAAAGTAGAATTTTTATGACTAAAATTCAAAGAAATTAATTAATTTCAATGATTCATTAATTTAAATTTCAGTAAATGTAATTTTTGCATTTGAATGATAGCTTGTCAAAGCCTTGTTTGAATCTTGAAGTTCAAAGGGTTTATAGCGGTGGTTCAGTTTTCATCTGGATTTAGTGTGTGTGTGTTTAGAATTTTAATTTTAAAGTTTAAGTCATCCTGTGGCCCCCTTGAAAAATTGCTGAGGCCCCTGGTTGACAACCACTGGTTTACAGGCCTTACAGAAAGACAGATATTATTGAAATGTCACCTAGAAATGTGTATTTAATTGATACGTATTTAATAACTTTATTTTGTTTTATGGGGCAGGGTGGAAGAACACTTCATTTCCCAGAATGATTTCCATGATGAATATCTTCTTTCTTTCTTTACTCCATTCATCTTGTTTCTTCTCTCCCTCTTTCTCATAAGTGCTAAAGATCATTTAAGGAAATGTGTTGCATTATAATCCATTTTTTTCTCCCAACACTATTGACAGTGACGTTCTTTCAGCATTGAGATGTCACCTTGTGTTCAAACTGCAATCAATTTGATCATTAAACTTATTGCAATATGATTGTGCTATAGTCTACCATGCAGACAATATGAAGGCTTTGATACAGTTGTTTAACCACGTTTTAAACGCTGTTCTTGTGGATTAGTTATCTCAAGGTTTGATCACTTTGATGGCCAGAACTAACTGCATAATGCATGCACTCTATTATACGTGCCTTTTTCACTGCCAAAAACACTCTAGCACACTCACAGGAAGAGGTCAGTCTGCAGTCGGCTTTGTAATCCTAGACTATTGGGTGGGTAAAACAACAGTTTTTTATTGTTTGTTATTGAGGAGATGTTATTGTTGATGTTATCGATGTTATTGCCTTTTTGAAAAACGTCATATGATCCAGTTCATCTCATTCAACATATACAACTTTCATCTCACTGAAGGAAATGGCGCTGACCTGCTTTCACTGACAGCTTTTGGTTTTAAAAAAAGAGTTATCAGACGAGACGTCAACTTCCTTCCCACCAGGCAGACAGAGAGACAGACAGACAAGGACCGCTGTTTCACCCTGCTGCATCAGTGCTGTGTTTGGCATGCTGCAGGGTCCCAAAACCGGGATCAGACAGTGTTATGCAAGTGTTTGGGTGGCTGGATATTACTGTGTGTGTGCATGCAGAAATGTCTGTGTGTCTTGAAGGCAGAAGCGCTCTCTCGCATTGTGGTCGATCTGTCCTTGTTAGTGTTTGTGTAAGCGACAGCCAAAACACTCCACACCAAAATGTCCATCGTCATCAGCGTATAGCCTCCTTTTTTTTAAATGGTTGTAGACTGTAGCAAATCCAAAAACTAAATCCATGCTATCCCCATTTCTACCTTCTCTCTTTTATTTCCAAGCACCAAAAAGTACTTCTCACAATAATTTTATTTTTATTTTTATTTTTTTATTGTAACACGTAATTTAATCCAAACATCTTTGTTGGCCTTTAGAAAAGTATAAACTGGCCTTTGGCATAAATCATATGCTTAATTATAACGGATTTGTGAGAGCTGAGATTTGAAAACATATGCTAATAATATTACGTTTTGTCCCTGTTAGCCTCACAAGAAGACAAAGCAGGATTACATGTTTAGAGACCACAAAACTACATTTTTCAGATTCACATTTCATTACCTCCTTCTCTAGAAAAACGTATAGTCAAAAATGTTTCCACAGTCCCTGAGGCTTGAGTTTTTTTTTTGTTTTTGTTTTTCGGTTCCAAGAAATGTCCCATATTGAATGACGTCAAATCTCACCAAGACTTTTGCATTTTAATGCATTTGGCAGATACTTTTTGTCCAAAATGACTTAGTGCAGTAACACAACATTATTTGTTATCTATCTATCTATCTATCTATCTATCTATATATATATATATATATACATACATACACGAGTAATTCTCCAAATTACCACAGTAAATGACACTGTCATCTAGTGAATTCCATGTATTATGTTCTAGTATTTGCGTTGGGGAGTCTGTGTTGTATTACATTGGGAAGTTACTTGTATCCTTTCATTTCCTTTTTTTTTGCTTTTGTTTCCTAGTTTTCTTTGTTAAACCACTCTTAGTCTAGATATGTTTTTCTCTCTCTGGGAAGTTTCTTTCTCTTTTCTTGTGCTTGCAGATGTGGTATATCATGTTTCCATACTTCCTTTATTACTATATTTGTCTAATTACAGAACATCAGAAAGTGTATTTTATCATGGTGTGTGAGGGAAGTAGATTAAAGTCCAGCCTATGTATTCATGTACACTACAGTTTAAAAGTTTGGGGTAAGACTTTTTTAATGTGTTTGAGTTCCTTGAGCTCACCAAGGCTGCATCAAAATGTAGTGTTTAATTAAAAAACATCAAAATTGTGAAATATTACAATAACAAAACAGTCTATGTTAAGTTATTTTATGTTATATGTTATGTTATTGCAAACGGAAGGAGACAACACAGGTAAATGACCATCTAACGGAGTTTATTTACAGGCTTCAGGAGAGGAGCAAGCAATGATCAAAGGTGAGTTAATAAGCAGATAATCTTGAGCTAGGACTGAACAGTCACTGAGGTTTCTTTGCAGGGTGAGGCTGAGTCAGCGTGCTGGGAGGAAGACAGAACATGATGGTAGATGACTGGATAGTAGCTAACCTTTTAGTGTGCCTCTGCAGGACTGAGTTTGCAGGAGACATGGATTTTTCTGGTTCTGATCTATCCTGTGCTTGCTTTTTGCACCTGGGGGCACTGCTGTGTGGACATATGGCTGGGAGGCTGAAGAGGAGGTGAGAAGTGCGTGAGGTTCAGAAAGGAAGAGGGAATGACAGAGAGAAAGGATTTAATGAGGCCCAACCCCCAGACTGGTAATCAGTGATCTCCCTCATAGTGGGCCTTTTTGTTTGAAGCTGCACCACAGGATCTCCCTCCCTAATGTGCCACTTGCCTTCCTCTCCATTTATTATCTACTCTCTCGCTCTCTATCCACCGTTTCTTCTCTAAACCTCTCCTTCCTCAATTACACTTAATTTTCCTCTCTTTCAGTCTCAGTTGAATATATATCATACTCTATGATATACTCCAAATATATATACACTACCATTCAAACATTTGGGGTCAGAACGGTTTTCTTATTTTGAACAAAATTGATTTGTTTATTCAGCTTAGTCATCACAGGAATAAATTACATTTTGAAATATATTAAAATAGAAAACAGTTACTTTAAATAGTGATTGTATTTCACAATATAACTCTTTTTATGGTTTAAAAACATTTCACGAGTTCACACTTACATATAATTAGCTGAAGTATGGTAATGCATATTTGGCGTGCTGTCCGGGGAAGGGCTCCGAGCTCGGGAATGGCCTGAACCTAGAGTACCCCCCAAAAAGCAATTGAGCAAAGGACAGCCGCCAGACTAAGGATAAATGGCTGACCGAGAGGGCCCATGAAGCCTCCGACTGGAGATCAAGACTCAGGACGACAGACGTGTGGGTCCTTTTGGTTTGGCAAGGTTAAAAGGCTTTGGGCCGTCCGACAAGTAGAACTCTCACGATATCCGACGGGAGATCAAGACACAACGCATCGGATGGATAAGTCTCGCTTGCGGGCGGCAAGTATAGAAGCCCAACTGGGAAAACTCTCGCCGACATCTGACGGGAGATCATGACTCACTGCATCAGACGGGTAAGTCTCACTGGGCGGGGAGAGAGAAAAGGAAAACCCGACTGGGAGAGGTCTCGCGGCATCCGATGGGAGAACAATACTCACGGCATCGGACGGGTAAGTCTCGCCAGTAGACAGACAGAAAAGGCGGGGTTGTGCGAGCGGGAGGCTCTCGCAGCATCCAACGGTAGTTCAATACTCACGGCACGGACAGGTAAGCGTCACCAGTAGTTGAAAGAACACATTCACTTAACTGGGAAGACTCTCACAGCATCTAACGGGAGTTCAATACTTGTGGCGTTGAACGGCTAAGCTTCGCCAGTGGTCGGACTGAAAGGCCAAGATTTGCTTGACCGGAAGGCTCTTGCAGTTGTTGGATTACAAATGTATAAAATGTTATATCTAGGTTCCAATGTAATAGTATATAAACTGAAAAAAGTTATGTACATTGTGTTTTACATTTTGAGGTAAAGATGATGACATTCTAAGAAGATCAAGTCAGGCAGCCCAGGTGTCTGAGACATTAACCTTTTGTCTTTATGCACTTCCTGACCATTGGGCAGGGTCCCAAGTTAAAGGTGAATGCTAAGCTCAAGGCACAGCTGTGCCTTTGTCTCTATGATAATGTGAAGGTATGGGCGATACTGTCAGGCTGATTGGATTAGCACCTATGCATTTGAATGACACTGTTATGCTGATGAGATCAGGGCTGGGGAAATTCCGGTAACGGGCTGATTCCTGTACTGTATTTGCATGCTTTGTTTCGATTGTCTCCACCTCTATGTATCCCTCCCCCTTGAAAGGTATAAACTCTACTGTGCTGAGCTATAGTCAGACTTGGATGACTGCAGCGACGCACAGCAAGTCCTCAATAAAGAGTAACTTCTGTATGAAAGATATCCCAACGTCTCCTGGTCTCTGCTTCGATGAGGAAAAAGTTTCCTACACCGTGTTCGACGGGAGTTCAATACTCACGGCACGGACGGGTAAGCTTCGCCGGTAGTCGGACGGAAAGGCCAAGATTTGCTTGACCGGAAGGGCTCTTGCAGCGTTTGACGGGAGTTCAATACTCACGGCACGGACGGGTAAGCATCACCGGTAGGTGAAAGAAAACATATTCACTCAACCGGGAAGGCTCTTGCAGCATCTGATGGGAGTTCAATACTCACGGCATCGGACAGGTAAGCTTCGCCGGTAGTCTGACAGAAAGGCAAGGTTTGCTCGACCGGGAGGCTCTCGCAGCATCTGAAGGGAATTCAATACTCACGGCATCAGATGGGTGAGCCTCGCAGGTAGTCGACAGAGAAACATATTTGCTCCACCGGGAGCGCTCTTGCAGCATCTGACAGGGAATTCAATGCTCAGAACAATTTGAGTTGTCTAAAAGGGTAGATGCTATGAGGATTACTTTGCGTAATTGTTTGATGAATCCAATAAGATGCTCCTGATAACATCCGAAAGTTAAGCGCACAACAAAATAGAATTTCCTGTGCCAACGTACCCCAAATAAGTGCAGTGAATCTGGATGTATAGGCATAGCTTTGAAAGCTGAGGTGATGTCGACTTTTGCCAGCCAAGTGCTAAGACCCGTGATTTTATTATATTGATTGCATGATCAATGTCCTACTATTGAGAGGGAATTCATCAAGAGGAATCAAGGTGTTTATGCTTGAAAACAGGGAGTTATATGGAGCTGACAGATCGATTAGAAGGCATTTCTTACCCCAGAATTTTCCTAGTAGCAACTCCAATGGGCTAATGCGAAACTGAGAAGGCGGGGCATCAAAAGGGCTGATCATGAACCCTTGTTTAATTCACGCCGCCTATGGGGGAAAGCTGAACAGATTATTTCAGTGAAATGGCTGAACGTAATGAAAAACGATGAAAAATATGATTGCTGTAGCATTTCTGTCATAAAGATATGGCCAATTATTCAAGATTAAGTGGACATTTGAATTAAATGTTTAGCCATACGAGGATTAGATCTCACAGTGACATGTAGAAACGATTGTCGGGCCATTGGTGCCCTTTGTAGGCTTTTGATATAATGTGTATGTACATTATATTGTTTATAATACATTATGTTAAGTTTTGTTCAACAGAACCATATTGTTACTTGCTTTTGATACTTTATTTGAACCAATTATTATGGCCTCATTGCTATTATGTATGTATTTTAGGTCATTTTTAAAGGCTATTGTTTAATTAGGCCTGTTTTTCTACCATAAATATAAATTATAATTATCCGATTAATCATCAGAATAATCAACCGATAACTCTGTTACCCAATTAATCGTTAGTGACGGCCTTAGATGAGGGGTCTATGTCCGCACCTGCCAGGGTCTGAGCTCGAATGTTGTGAGCCACTGGAGGT